GCAGCGGAGGAGGGAGTCAATGATTTTCATGAGGATTTTGGCCTCAATAACTAGAAAGATGCAACTGCTATTAACTGATATGAGGAAGACTGTGGGAGGAGCAAATCTGTGAAAAACTAAATGTCAAGTAGGCAGTCAGGGTTAGATGAGTCCGGAGGTTAGGGAACAGCTGCAGACCAGATATATAAGTTTGAGAGCTATCAGTATATAGATAATATTTAAAACCATGAGATAAGAAGAGATCACCAAAAGATCAAGTGAAAAGCAAGACAGAAAAGAAGTCCAAGGATTGAGCCCCAGGATACTCCAATATTAAGGGACTGAAGATGGGGGAGAAACAGCAAAACAACAACAAAAAACAAAAACAAAAAACCTAAGAAGCTATAGCCAGTTGAAGTTGGAAGAAAAATAAAAAGCTCTAGTGTTGTAGGAACCAGGTAATAAGGTACTTCAAAAAAAAAAAAAAAGATTGATTAATTATGTTTAATTCTGTTGACAGGTAAGTAAGTAAGACAATAAGATGGAGTCTGAGAATGACCATTGGATTTAGCAGTGTGGAAGTTTTGGGTGACTTTAATAAGAGTACTTTTATTAAGAGGTAAAGGCAAATAGTCTCACTAAAATGCACCTGAGAGACAATGTGAGGAGAGGAATAGGAGCAGCAAATACGCACAACTCAAGGATTTTTGTTATGAAAGGAAGCAGGGAAGTTCAGTGGCAGCTGAAGGAAGATGTGGGATAAAGAAAGGTGGTTTTTTTTCTTCCTCTCTCCTTTTTTTTGTTTTTTTTTTAGTTGGTTGGTTTTTAAGATGGGTAAAATTAAATATGCTTATAAACTGATAGTAATACTCTAGTAGTCAGAAGAAAAACTGATGATGCAGAAGAGAGAGGGAAGAAATGCTGAAGAAATGTCCTTGAGTAGATGGGAGGGAATTGGATCTAGCCACATGCCAGGGTAGGCCTAAGATAGGAGAACGAACAGTTCATCCACATTAACAGGAATTAACAGATGCAAGTAGGTGGGTAGGTATGATGGTGGAAACTTGTGAAGTTTCCTTTTGATTGCTTATTTTTTCAGTGATACAGGAAGCACTGTCACCAACTAGTAGTGAAGGTAAGGAAAAACCTATAGGAAGTTTGAGGAAAGTTTGAGTCAGATGAAACAGTCATCTAGGAAATGTTCATTCTTACTTAATCACTTTTCAATTGAAATGCCTGCCATTTACCCTGTTTGAAATTCGGGACTCAAATTTAATCCTGTCCCCCTTGCACTCCTACTGCCCAAATCAAAATCTACTCATTTCGGCTCAGTTCTTTATCTTTACCTCTTCTTTCTTATAGGCCCCTGCTAATCTAGAAAATTGGTAGAATATTTCCATACAACTCGGATTTCACACACTTGTAAACTAAAAAACAAAACAAAACAGAACAAACAAAAAAAACCCACTTAAGATTCCAGGCTCCTTTCCAAAGTACACTGATCCAATCCAAACAGGATTCACCATACTACCATCACAAAGGGTCATGAGACTCAGGTTTCCTCGTTGGTAGCTGCTACTCAGCATTCTCTAACTCCACAAACATAAATCATTAGACATTGTCTACATATAACCAAATTATAATGCAAAAGCATACACATTCTCAGATGAAATTTATATTCATAGGCTAAAAGAAGACCTGAAAGACTCCTAATCTAATGCAAGATCTAATCCCATCATAATTCTACTACTAACTTGACGTCAAACAAGTCAGTTCACATGTTTCAGATTACCAAACCAAAAAAAAAAAAAAGTATAATCAAACAAGCAAAATAAAATTGTTATATAAGACCAAAGAAAGAAATAAAAACCAATACAACTCATCCAGGTAATGCAAAGTAATTTAGCACCTGAAAACAATGTAATACAGCATATTAACAGGAAAAAAGGACAAAGAATTCATGATAATAATAAATGCAGAAAGAGTATTTGACAAAATTCAACACCTTTCCATAATAAAAACACTCAACAAACTAGTAATAGAAAGAAACTTCCTCAACTTGAAAAAGAACATCCACTGTTAACATCCTATATAGTGGTGAAGGACTAAATGCTTTCCACTTAAAATCAGAAACAGGACAAGGATGTCCAGTTTGCCATTTCTATAAAACATTGTACTGGATATTCTAGCCAGGGCAATTAGGCAAGGAAAAGAAATAAAAGGCTATTTATAGATGACAAGATCTTATATATAAACAATCCTAAGGTTTTCTCTAAAAAACTATTAATAAGCGCAAAAAAGTAAACTGTATTTCTTTATACCTGTGATAAACAATCTGCAAGAAAACAATTCAATTTACAAAAGCATCAAAGAATAAAATACTTAGAAATAAACCTAAGGAAATAAATGCAAATGTTATGCTTTGAAAACTATAAAACATTGTTGAAGGAAATGAAAGAAAATCTAAATGAACGGGCAGACACCCTATGTTCATAAGTCAGATGGCAACAGTCCCCAAATTCATCAATAGATTTAATGTAATCCTTATCAGAATCCCAGCCAGCTTTTTGTAGGAAGGTGATCTTAAAATTCATATGAAAATGCAAGGGACTCAGAGGAGCAAAACAACCCTGAAAAAGAACAAAGTTGGAAGCCTCACACTTCCAAACTTCAAAACTCACCACAGAGCTACAGTAAGACAGATTGCACTGGCGTAAAGTAAAACATATAAATCAATGGAACACAACTGAGAGTTCAGAAATAGAAGTTCATGTGTATTTTCAATCTACTGGGGCAAATAATAGTCTTTTTCAACAAATAGTGTTGGGATCCTGGTTATATACAAAACAATGAAGCTGGAATACTACCTAACACCATATGCAAAAACTTACTCAAAATGGCCTACAGACCTAAATATAAGAGCTAAAACTATACGACTTTTAGAGGAACACTTAGGAGTAAATATTTGTGACCCTGAATTAGGTAATGGTTTCTTACACAAGACAACAGAAGCACAAACCACAAAACAAAAAGTAGATAAAATAGACTTTGTCAAAATTTAAAATTTTTGTGCTGCAAAGAAAATCACAGAGAAAGTGAAAAAACAATCCCCAGAATGGGAGAAAATATTTGCAAATCATACATATGATAAGAAACTTATACGTAGAATACACTGAGAACACTTACAACTCAATAATAAAAAGACAAGTAACCCAACTACAACGTGAACAGAGGATCTGAAAAGCCAGTTCTCTGAAAGACTTAAAGTATATGAAAAGATGCTCAACATTAACAGCCATGAGGAAATGGAAATTAAAAATACAGTGAAATATCACTTTACACTCACTGGGATGGCTATAAGCAAAGATATAGATAATGACAAGTGTTGGTGAACATGTGAAGAAATCTGAACCCTTATATATTGTTGGTGGAAATGTAAAATGCTGCAGTCATTTTGAAAAGTTTGCGGTTTCTCAAAAGGTTAAACAGAACTGCCAGAAGACCCAGTAATTCCACTCCCAGGTATATATCCAAAAGAAATGAAAATATATGCCGACAGAAAAACTTGCAAACAAATGGTCATACCAGTGTTTGTAATAGCCAAGAGGTAGAAACAATTCAAATGTCTATCAACTGACAAATGGATAAATAAAATGTGGTATATCCATAGAATAAAGCACTATTCAGCAATGAAAAGCAATGAAATACTGATACATGCTACAAGATAGATATGTTTGAAAACATGTTAAATGAAAAAATCTACCACAAAAGATCACATCTGATATATTCCATTTACATGAAAAGTCCACAATAGTCCAATCTATAGGGCAGAAAGTAATTAGTGACTGCCTATGGTTGGAGGGGCATTTTGGGAGAGAAAACGGGGAATGACTACCAATGGGTATGAGGGATTCCTTTATTTTCTATTTAAAAAATTTTTAATTGTGGTAAAAACACATAACCTAAAATTTAACATCATAACCATTTTTTAAGTGTACAGTTCAGTAGTGTTAAGTGTACTTACATTGTTGTGAAACAGATCTCCAGAGCCATTTCATCCTGCAAAACTGCAACTGTATACTCCTTAAACAAAGCTCTCCATATCCTCCTACTTCCAGCTCCTGGCAACCACTATTTTACTTTCTGTCTCTACTAATTTGACTACCTAAAGTACTGCATATGACAGTATTTGTCCTTCTGTGACTGCTTTTTTCACTTAGCATAGTGTTGCAGTGTGTGACAGGGTTTCCTTCCTTTTTAAGACTGAATATTTTATTGAATATATCATATATTATTTACTATTTATCCACTGATGGACATTTGAGTTGCTTCCACCTTGGCTATTATTAATAATGCCACTATAAACATGGGTGTGCAAATACCTGTTTGAGATCCTACTTTCAATTCTTTTGGAGATACACCTTGAAATGAGATTGCTGGATCATGGGGGCTTCTTATTTTAGAGTGAAAATTTTATAGTGGTTATGGTTGCACAACCAGTGAATATACTAAAAACCACTGAATTATACGCATTAAATGTGTCAATTATATATAATATGTGAATGATACCTCAATAGAGCTGTTAAAAAATACAATGCTTAAAGGCTGAATCAAGTTATAATTACTTCAAGGATTTTGGCTGAACTAGATAATCTGGTTACATAACTATTCAATCTTGTTCATGTAATTCTAATTATTTTCAAAGCCTTGGCTAGATGTTTAGGCTTTTATTTATTTATTTTGAGCACAAGCCTAAGTGCTTCTTCAGCACTGTACATCAGAGAAAGTAGAAAAAAGAAACTGTCAGTATGTATATTCAATCATAATATTAAACCTTTTCATATTTTGTATCAGGAAAAATTGCAAGGAAATAACAAAAAATTACGGCAATTTTTATTTTATTTGCCCTGTAGCCATGTCATTCACCAGGATTTTAAAAATAGGGAAATAAAGAATTTACTCACTTTGACTTGAGATTCACTTTTTCAAATGTCACTCACAATTATTTCACATAGAGGATATTCAAAAGACAAAGGATTTATTTACCTTTTCTGCAACAGAAAATTACACAATTAAAAATTCCTATGTCTAGTGTCACTGAATGGGGAAAGAGGCAATATATCTTTAAAAACAAGAGAAAAAATTTTGAGAAAAAAATGTGCAACAAATTTAAATTCTTATAATCTTGAATTCTTATATATATCTAGAAAAGGTAATGGCAATATGGATGGCCACTGATGTTCAGAAACACATTTCATCACTTTCTTTTCTGCTTCATCCAGACATTTTCAGTATTGTCAAGCTCAAAAACACAGTTTTAGAAAGATGATAAATGAGAGAATCTCAAAGATTTCACATGAGCTCTCTGATCAGAGCAGAGCAAAGTAAGAGAAGCCTTACTTGTCTGATCATATTTTAAAATAATAGGCTCCATATGGTTCACAAGAAAGAAGAGACGAGTAAGTCAGCTTTCAATCTTGGTTCCAAGGCAGATTAAAACAATGATTACAATCTAATTATAAAGACAGTTATTACATGAGACAGTATTTCTTTCCAGAGTATATATTTTATAACTTGAACAGCTTTTCTTAAATAATCTCTCAGGGCTGATTTTAAGTAAAAGCCAAAATACTACCAGTTAATTTCAGATTCTTATTATAGATTTTTCAAAGTCCGCCTGTGTGCAGAAGCAAAATTATGAATTGCGACTCGAAGAGCTGAATTACCCCCAGGGACATCACAGGAATTGATGAATGAATGTAGTGCCCGAGTATATGCTGCAAAAAAAGGTTTGCACAGCAATGAATAAAGTCAAATTCTAAACAACTCTACCAGCCTCCATCTTATTAGTACTGCTTCTCTACCAAGAGTCTTACAAGTAACTATCTATCGAATAAATATTTATAGAGTACTTACTATATGACAAGCACTCTGTGAGGACAGAAAAGATAATAAAGAGTATGGACACAAAAATAATTAAGTTGCCATGTAATATTTCCAAACCAGAGGTATATACAAAATGTCATCATAGGCCAGGCACAGTGGCTCACACCTGTAATTCCTGCACTTTGGGAGGCTGAGGCAGGCAAATCACTTGAGGTCAGGAGTTCGAGATCAGCCTGGCCAACATGGCAAAACCTCGTATCTACTAAAAATACAAAAACTAGCTGGATGTGGTGGCGCAAACCTGTAATCCCAGATATTTGGTAGGCTAAGGCACTTGAACCCAGGAGGCAGAGGTTGCAGTGAGCTGAGATCGTGCCACTGCACTCTGGCCTGGATGACAGAGCAAGACAGTCTCGAAAAAAAAAAAAAAAATGTCATCATAGAATGAAGCTGGGAATGAATGTACAACTACCTAGGACAGGATGGAAGACTCCCAGAAGTGGTAACACTTAAGATGAGTTTTGAAGAAATAACAAGAGTAAAGGAAAGAACACAGAGAACTGAGTGTGTCAGGTGCAAAAGGAGTGAACAATATGGCACATACTGGGAATAGCAACTTTGATAAGGCTGGAGTAGGGCCCAGAGCCAGAGAGAAAATACACCAAATATGCCATGCATCTTATACCGCAATGGGGAGCCCTAGAGGTTTTAGAATAGGGAAATGGCATAATTAGATTTGTGTTTTTTAAAATAAAGCTGGTAAGAAACTCATATCATACAGATGAAGCACTAGGAATATATATACTGGCAGTATTCCTAGTGTATACATGAGGGCTACATAATCTTTACACTATATAAATCAATGTATTTAAGGATGCATAGGAAATAGAAATATTAAAGACAATATGAAGGACTAAGTTTTCTCTACCTGGGATGCTCCTGATAGAGTTTATACTGTTTCTTATTTTCCTCAGTCCCTCCTGGCAGAACCAGCAATCTAATGTGGATATACATGGTAATACATCCATGTTACATACCATTAAAGTATTTGGGTAATAGGGAATTCAACTGGATAGAGTCCTAACTTACATAAAAGGCAAATTCTAATAGTCTTCAGTTAAAGGACCTGGAACTGAAGTCCTTCTACAGTAGAATGAGCTGAAAATATTTCCCCAGCATAAATGGAGACAAGAAGATAACAGATCTCCAAGAGAAATATAACTCATTATAATTTTTTCATTGCCTCATATAGTTATTTTAAAAAGGGTTTATAACAGTCTCTGACACATAGTAAGCACTCAATAAATGGTAAATTACTACTACCACTACTCTTATTGATTTTTCTCGTTGCCATTAGGCCCTGACTATTCCTTCAAGAAACTTACCCCTGTGGTTTTTATAGAAAATACAGTTGTTGGCACAGGTATCAGGATGAGCATCCCAAAAATCAGGACCACAACAACATAGTGGAGGTAAAGTAATATTATACAGCTGCATTTTCTCCTGGATTTGGGCTCGTAAAGCTTCTACATATCTGTAAAAATAAAGTATGATCAGGCAAAGTGAACTACTAGAAAGAAAGTGAGCATGAATCCTGACTTTACAGCCAGCTTTAACTGTTAAATCTATTTCATATCTCTGAGCCTTGATATTTCCTCTTTGTACTGGGAAAAACGCAGGGCTACACCCAAGAAGTATTAGGCAATCAAAAAATTTGGTTAAGTTATGAACTCCTAAATGAGGAAAAGTATGAAAAGACACAATCAATTCTCTTCTAAGGAAAATGAGAACAATGACTTTCTACCAAGTCTCCTCTAGAGCCAGAATATCATGAAGACCTTTTCAAATTACCTCAGGTATTCTTTTTCTCTCTGTTGTTGTTTTTCTCTGGCTCCTTTTATTTCTTCAAGTTGTAACTGGGCTAATATCTCACTCATTTTCTCTCCTGAATATGGATCTTCATGAAAGTTCATTCTTAGGATCCTCTGCTCTTCAGCATAACGTTCTTGCTCTCTCTTTTTCTTAATTCTGAGAATAAAATCATAACATGGTTAGGAATTTCCTAAAATTATTATTTAAAATTAGCTTCTTTATCCAAATAACTCAAGAAATTCCCAGAAACTAAGGAGTCAGGAAATCAGTTTAATATCCCAAGGATATCTTCAAAAATTTCTGCTGGCTGCTTTATCTCCTCTCAAAGAGAAATGAGCAATAGCTACTATTAGAAGAGTTTTTCCAGGCTAGGTGTGGTGGCTCATGCCTGTAATCCCAGCACTTTGAGAGGCCAAGGCAGATGGATAACATGAGGCCAGGAATTCCAGATCAGCCTGGCCAACATGGTGAAAACCCATCTCTACTAAAAATACAAAAATTAGCCGGGCAGTGGTGGCACGGGCCTGTAATCCCAGCTACTCAGGAGGCTGAGGCTGGAGGATCACTTGAACCCAGCAGGCAGAGGTTGCAGTGAGCTGAAATTGCACCACTGCACTCCAGCCTGAGCGACAGAGCAAGACTTCTATCTCAAAAAAAAAAAAAGTTTTTCTGTAAGAATGTAGCACAACAGTCTTTTCAGATTAAAACTACAAGTCAACAGGGCTTCTGCTTCTGACCAAAACAGAGTAACAGGAACCACATTTGCCCTCCAATCTTAAGCCACCAAAAAAATTTTAAAAGTTTTAAAAAGTACACAAATCAAACAAATACAAGAAATGATGGTTTTCAAGACATTGGACACCAGGTAACAAATGACACTGCTCTTTGACAGACGGGAAACAAGTGAAGTAAACCCTATAACTGCCAGAGATTACTGCCTTGGAAGGTTCCAGGCAGTGGCGCAGGGCAGGGAAATTGAAGTGAAGCCTGATGGGCTCTATGAATTGAAGAGATGGAGTTAAGAGTGCAGGGAGACAAAGGCAATTAGAGTTCACAGGACAAAGTACCAGAGAGAAGAAAGTTGCCCAGAGACAGCATCCCAGAGATGAACAGAGAGTCTCCTGGTACACAGCAGAGCACTGATTGGTGTATGTATGCAGGGAAATAACCTGAGGCTAGGGAGAGAACCATCCAAAATAAAAGAGAACAGTGACTAGAGTCCACATAGCTCCAGGAATAATTGGTCCTTATTTCCACCAATCAAACTTGAAAAACTTGTATTTCACAGAACATTAGGTAGAGTATTCAGAATGATCTTATCTGAGCAGTAGGGAATAAAAACTAATCCTAGACTGAGTACTGCACCAGACTCACCTGACCAGTTATAAAAGCAAGTCCTCAAATGAACTTGACTGTATGCCAAAACCAGGTTCAAGAATGTAAGGACATCCAGCAACTAACATGGTAAAACTCACAACATTGGGCATCCAACCAAAGATTACTAAGAACACAAAGAGGCAGAAAAACACAACTCACAATCAGGAGAATAATCAATCAAAACGACCTAGAACTGACACAGTTGTTAGAATTAGCAGAGAAAAACACTAAAGTAGTTACTACAAATATATTTTATATGTTCCAAATGTTAGGATATAAAAAAGACAAATCAAACTTCTAAAGATGAAAACTACAATTTTAAGACTATGATTCGAGATTTAAAAAACAGTGGATGGGAATACTACCAGCATAGATATTGCAGAAGTAAATCTGAAAACATAACAATAGAAACCATCCAAAGTGAAACACACAAAAAAAATCTGAAATGACAAAAAGAGTACAAAATAACACCAAACTAATCATATTAAAAATGGACAAAGGACTTGAATAAACATTTCTCCAAAGATGATATACAAATTGGCTAACATGCATACGAAAAGATGCTCAACATCACTAATCATCAGAAAAAGGCAAACTGAAACCACAATGAAATGATCACCTCACACCCAATAGGATACTTACTATCAAAAAAATAAAAAATAACAGGTGTTGGTGAGGATGTGAGAAATTGAAAGCCTTGTACACTGTTGTTGGAGCTATAAAATGGTATAACCCCTATGGAAAATAGCATAGACGTTCCGTAAAAAACTATAAACACAGCCACCATATAATCTTACTTCTGGGTACATATTCAAAAGAAAGCAAGAGTCTCCAAGAGATGTCTGTACACACATGTTCCTAACAGTGCTAATTCTTAATAGGTAAGAGGCAGAATCAGTCCAAATGTCCACTGATGGATGAATAAACAAAATATATTCTATACATAAAATGGAATATTATTTAGCCTTAAAAATAAAACTGTGTCACATTAAACAACATGGATGAGCCTTAAGGACAGAATACTAAGTGAAATAAGCCAGTTACAAAAAGACAAATAATGTATAATTCTACTCACATAAAGGTCTAAAGTAGCTGTGATGGTTAATACTGAGTGTCAGCTTGACTGGATTGAAGGATACAAAGTATTGATCCTGGGTGTGTCTGTGAGGGCATTGCCAAAGGAGATTACCATTTGAGTCAGTGGACTAGGAAAGGCAGACTCACCTTAACCTCAGTGGGCACAATCTAATCAGCTGCCAGCAAGGCTAGAATACAAGCAAGCAGAAAAATGTGAAAAGAGAGACTGGCCTAGCCTCCCAGCCTACATCTTTCTCCCATGCTGGATGCTTCCTGCTCTCGAACACTGGACTCCAAGTTCTTTAGTTTTGGAACTGGGACTAGCTCTCCTTGCTTCTCAGCCTGCAGATGGCCTATTGTGGGACCTTGTGGTCATGTGAGTTAATACTTAATAAACTCCTTTTGCACACAAACACACACACACTCCATTAGTTCTGTCCCTCTAAAGAACCCTGACTAATATAGATTTTGGTACCAGGAGTGGTTCCAGAGGAACAGAGTATTAAAGATGGAGTTCTTTTGTTGGTTTGGGGGTTTCTGCAGTTGGCTACTTAATATGATGAAACCCAAAAATGCTAAGGACTCTACTTCTAATAGTATGAAGAACACTGATAGTCCTTGGCGTGAACTGTGTAAAGAGTTATGTCAAATAAATCCATTTGACATTCGCAATTCATCGCTCGTGAGAGGCAAGGAGTTTAGTGACTCTATATAAAATACCTTTGACCATATGTGGAGCATCAAGGAACATAATGAAGTTGGTTGGTTACTCCTAAGTTCACTGGACAAAGTGATGAAAGAAAATGACGAACTCACGGATTCTAACTCCTGACTTCAGAAGCAGATACTGAGCCTCAAATCTTCTAAGATTGCCCTGAGTAAGAGTCTTATCACCTGTAGAGAAAGACCTGAAATTGTGGAAAATCAGACATAAGCTCTTATCATGCAAGTGGCTGACCTGCAATGAAAGTTGCATGCACAGCCTTGACAGGTGTCTACTGTTAATGTGAAGGCATTGATTGGAAAAGAATGGGACCCTGCAACTCAGAATGGGGATGTGTGGGAGGACCCTGATGACACTGGGGACACTGAGCCTGTAAACTCTGACGAACCTTTTTTGCCAGAAGAAACAGCTTCCCCATCCCCAAGGATAGTAGCAACATCCCCTCCCCAACCCATGCTGCCATCAGCATTTCCACCTTTGTCTGAGGAGATAAACCCTGTGATGCATGAGGCAACAGTGATGGCCTCCCCTGAGGCAGTTGCCAGGCAAGATAATGTTGATTCTCCTCAGGAGCCACCCCCAAAATCCTGTTTGTTTCTAGACCTATAACTGGATTAAAGTCCCGGTGGGCCCTTAGAGGTCAGGTTGAGAGTGTGACCCATGAAGAAGTGTGCTACACTCGAAAAGAACTGCTTGAGTTTTCTAATTTATGTAAACAGAAATCTGGAGAGCAGGCACGGGAATGGATATTAAGGGTGTGGGATAATGGTGGAAGAAACATAGAGTTGCATCAGGCTGAATTTATTGATTTGGGCTCGCCCACTAAGTAGGGACTCTGCATTTAATGTTGCAGCTCAGAGAGTTAAAAAAGGTTCTAATAGCTTATTTGCTTGGTTGGCTGAAATATGGAGTAAAAGATGGCCCACTGTGAGTGAGCTGGAAATGCCTGATCTCCCTTGGTTTAACGTACAGGAAGGGATCCAAAGGCTTAGGGAGATTGAGATGATGGAGTGGATTAGTCACTTTAGACCTACTCATCCCAACTGGGAGGGTCCAGAAGATATAACCTTGACCAATATCTTGCGAAACAGATTTGTAAGGGCAGCACCTACATCTTTGAAGAGTCCTGTAATTGCTCTTCTCTGTATGTCAGATCTAACAGTGGGAACCACAGTCACTTAACTACAAAATTTAAATACAATGGGAATAATTGGATTCCAAAGTGGCAGGGGCCAAGTGGCAGCACTCAACCATCAAAGGCAACATGGGTGTAGCTACTGTAATAGACAGCAGAGGCAAAGCGGCAATTAGAATAGCCTGACTTATGTAGAGCTCTGGCATTGGCTGAATTACTCATGGTGTTCCTAGAAGTGAAACTGACAGGAAGCCTACTGCATTCCTACTTAATTTATATAAGCAGAAAACTTCTATGTCAAATGGACAAAATATTAATTTGAAGTATAAAAACAGAGAATCATGGCCCCTCAATCAATTTCCAGACTTGAGCCAGTTTACAGACCCAGAGTCCCTTGAATAAAGGGGAGGCCGGTCCCCTTGAGGAAGGACCCCACTACATTACCGACAATTTATGCAGTGAATCTTTCTCCCATCCTTTCCCAAGGAGACCTCTGGCCTTTCACTGGGGTAACTGTGCACTGGGGAAAGGGAAATGATCAGACGTTTCGGGGACTACTGGACACTGGCTCTGAGCTGACACTGAATCCAGGGGACCCAAAACGTCATTGTAGTCCTCCAGTTAAAGAAGGGGCTTATGGAGGTCAGGTAATTGAGTTTTAGCTCAGGTCTGACTTACAGTGGGTCTGGTGAGTCCCCAGACTCATCCTGTGGTCATTTTCCCAGTGCCAGAATGTATAATTGGCACAGACATACTCAGCAGCAGGCAGAACCCCCACATTGGCTGATTGGTAGGGTAAGGGCTATTATAGTGGGAAAGGCCAAATGGAAGCCATTAGAGCTGCCTCTACCTAAAAAAATAGTATATCAAAAACAATATTGCATCCCTGGAGGGATTGCAGCAATTCGTGCCATGATCAAGGACTCGAAAGATGCAGGGTTGGTGATTCCCGCCACATCCTCATTCAACTCTCCCATTTGTCCAGTGCAGAAGACAATGGATCCTGGAGAATGACAGTGGATTATCATAAGTTTAACCAAGTGGTGACCCCAATTGCAGCTGCTGTACCAGACGTGGTTTCATTGCTTGAGCAAATTAACACATCTCCTGGTACTTGGTATGCAGCCATTGACTTGACAAATGCCTTTTTCTCCATTCCTGTCCATAAGGTCCATCAGAAGCAACTTGCCTTCAGCTGGCAAGGCCAGCAATATACCTTTACTGTCCTACCTCAGGGGTGTATTAGCTCTCCGGCTTTGTCATAATCTTATTCAGAGAGATCTTGATCACTTTCTACTTCCACAAGATACCACGCTGGTCCACTACATTGATGACATTACACTGATTAGATCCAGTGAGCGAGAAGTAGCAAACACACTGAATTTATTGGTGAGACATTTGCATGCCAGAGGATGGGAAATAAATCTGACTAAAATTCAGGGAACTTCTACCTCAGTAAAATGTCTAGGGGTCCAGTGGTGTGGGGCCTGTCAAGATATTCCTTCCTACAATCACAAAAGAGACACAATGCCTAGTGGGCCGATTTGGATTTTGGTGTCGACACATTCCTCATTTAGGTGTGTTAACCCAGACTGGCTCTCCTTGCTCCTCAGCCTGCAGATGGCCTACTGTGGGACCTTGTGATCATGTGAGTTAATACTTACTTTCAAGTGACCTGAAAGGCTGCCAGTTTAGAGTGGGGTCCGGAACAGAAGGCTCTACAACAGGTCCAGGCTGCTGGGCAAGCTGCTCTGCCACTTGGGGCATATGACTCAGCAGATCCAATGGTGCCTGAGGTGTCAGAGGCAGATAAGGATGCTGTTTGGAGCCTTTGGCAGGCCCCCATAGGTGAAACACAGCACAGGCCTCTAGGATTTTGGAGCAAGGCCCTGCCATCTTCTGCAGATAACTACTCTCCTTTTGAGAGACAGCTCCTAGCCTGTTACTGGGCTTTGGTGAAAACTGAAGGATCATCAAGTTACCATGTGACCTGAACTACCTATCATGAAGTGGGTGCTTTGTGACCCATCTGCCATAAAGCAGGTGATACAAAGCAGCAGTCCATCATTAAATGGAAGTGGTATATACGTGATCAGGCTTGTGCAGGTCCTGAAGGCACAAGTAAGTTACATGAGGAAGTGGCTCAAATGCCCATGGTCTCCATTCCTGCCACCCTGCCTTCTCTCCCCCAGCCTGCACCAATGGCCTCTTGGGGAGTTCCCTATGATCAACTGGCAGAGGAAAAGAAGACTAGGGCCTGGTTCACAGATGGTTCCGCGCAATATGCAGGCATCACCCGAAAGTGGACAGCTGCAGAACCTCAGTCCCTTTCCAGGACATCCCTGAAGGACAGCAGTGAAGGGAAATCTTCCCAGTGGGCAGAACTTCGAGTAGTGCACCTGGTTGTGCACTTTGCATGGAAGGAGAAATGGCCAGATGTGCCATTATATACTGACTCATCGGCTGTAGCCAATGGTTTGACTGGATGGTCAGGGACTTGAAAGAAGCATGATTGAAAAACTGGTGACAAAGAAATCTGGGGAAGAGTTATGTGAATGGACCTCTCTGAGGGGTAAAAAACTGTGAAGATATTTGTATCCCATGAGAGTGCTCACCAACAGGTGAACTCAGTAGAGAAGGATTTTAATAATGAAGTGGATAGGATGACCCATTCTGTGGACATCACTCACCCTCTTTCCCCAGCCACCCATCATCACCCAATGGGCCCATGAACAAAGTAGCCATGGTGGCAGGGATGGAGGTTACACATGGGCTCAGCAACATGGACTGCCATTCACCAAGGCTGACCTGGCTACAGCCACTGCTGAGCATCCACTTTGCCAGCAGAAGAGAGAAACACTGAGCCCTCAATATGGCACCATTCCTCAGGGTGATCAGCCAGCTATCTGGTGGCAGGTTGATTATACTGGACCTCTTCCATCATGTAAAGGGCAGAAGTTTGTCTTCACTGGAATAGACACTGACTCCAGATATGGGTTTGCCTATTCTGCACGCAATGCTTCTGCCAAGACTACCATCTGTGTACTCACAGAATGCCTTATCCACCGTCATGGTATTCTACACAGCACTACCTCTGACTTTACAGCTGAAGAAGTGCAGCAGTGGGCTTCTGCTCATGGAATTTACTGGTTTTATCAGTTCCCATCATCCTGAAGCAGCTGGATTGATAGAATGATGGGATGTCCTTTTGAAGTCACAATTACAATGCCAACTAGGTGACAATACTTTGCAGGGCTGGGGCAAAGTTCTCCAGAAGGCTGTGTATGCTCTGAATCAGCTTCCAATATATGGTACTGTTCCTCCCATAGCCAGGATTAATGGGTCCAGGAATCAAGGGGTGGAGGTGGCACCACTCACCATCACCCCTAGTGATCCACTAGCAAAATTTTTGCTTCCTGTTCCCACGATATTACATTCTGCTGGCCTAGAGGTCTTAGTTCCAGAGGAATGCTGCCATCAGGAGACACAATCAACTGGAAGTTAACCTGGCTACCTGGACACTTTGGGCTCCTCCTGCCTTTAAGTCAATAGGCTAAAAAGGGAGATACAGTGTTGGCTGGGGTGACCGACTTGGACTTTCGAGATGAAATCAGTCTACTACTCCTCAACAGAGGTAAGGAGTATGCATGGAATACAGGAGGTCTATTAGGGCGTCTCTTAGTATTACCATGCCCTGTGATTAAGGTCAATGGGAAACTACAACAGCCCAATCCAGGCAGGACTACAAATGACCCAGACCCTTCAGGAGTGAAGGTTTGGGTCACTCCACCAGGAAAAAACCAAGACCCTCTGAGGTGCTTGCTGAAGGCAAGTAGAAGAAGGTGGTCATCATACCAGCTACAATCATGTGACCAGTGCAGAAACAAGGACTGCAACTGTCATGAGTATTTCCTTCTTCTTTTGTTAAAAACATGTTTGTGCAAGTATACACCTGTACTAAGAAAATATCTTCATTTTATTTCCTCTCTCCTTTATCATGTGACATAGATTTATTGATTTCACATCAGCATTTAAGTCTTGTTAACTTT